TGAAAATCCGCGAAATAGCGAATCCGCGATAAGTGAACCGCGAAGTGGCGAGGGATCACTGTATAACAAAGTATTGAGAAACTTTTGTTATTAACCAAATACTTATTTTCCACCATAATTTGCAAATAAATTCATTAAAAATCCTACAATGTGATTTTCTTGATTTTTTTTCTCGTTTTGTCTGTCATAGTTTACATGTACCTATGATGAAAATTACAGGCCTCTCTCATCTTTTTAAGTGGGAGAACTTGCACAATTGGTGGCTGACTAAATACTTTTTTTCCCCACTGTGTGTGTGTATGTATATATATATATATATATATATATATATATATATATATATATATATATATATATATATATACACACACAGCTATGGAAAAAATTAAGAGACCACTGCAAATGTTTCTTAAATCAGCATCTCTACATGTATGACAGCCATTCCATTCCAGTGTCTGTTGAATTCCAACACAGGCACACCTCATTCTACTGAATTAGGATCACCTGAACCAAATCTTATTTATCGAGGAAAAGTATAAAAACCACTGCTGGTCATCACTATCCTCTTGCAATAGGACCAGCTGGATGGCAAAAACAGTGCTAATAGTACCTCAAAAGTAATATTAATCATAAAATAACTATTGACCATGCCAAAAGAGTTGAAAAGGAATGTTTTGAGTGAGGAAAAGAAGGGTTCAATTCTGGCTTTACTGGCAGAGGGATACAGTGAGCGTCAGATTACTTCCATCCTTCAATTTTCAAAGACGGCGATTCATAAGAACAAGGTCAAGCAGCAGACATTGGGGACAACAAAGCTACAGACCGGCAGAGGCCAAAAAACGAGACTCTACTGACCGGGATGACTGCCAACTCATTCGAATGTCACTCAACAACTGTAGGATGACATTAAGTGACCTACAAAAAGAATGGCAAAAGGCAGCTGGGGTGAAGTGCACGGCGAGGACGGTTCGAAACAGGCTCCTAGGGGCAGGGCTGAAGCCGTGCAAAGCTAGAAAAAAGCCCTTCATCAATGAGAAGCAAAGAAGAGCCAGGCTGAGGTTTGCAAAAGACCATAAGGATTGGACCGTAGAGGACTAGAGTAAGGTCATCTTCTCTGATGAGTCCAATTTTCAGCTTTGCCCAACACCTGGTCGTCTAATGGTTAGACGGAGACCTGGAGAGGCCTACAAGCCACAGTGTCTCGCACCCACTGTGAAATTTGGTGGAGGATCGGTAATGATCTGGGGGTGCTTCAGCAAGGCTGGAATCGGGAAGATTTGTCTTTGTGAAGGATGCATGAATCAAACCACCTACAAGGTTGTCCTGGAAGAAAACTTGCTTACTTTTGCTCTGACATTGTTCCCCAACTCTGAGGATTGGTTTTTCCAGCAGGAAAATGCGCCATGCCACACAGCCAGGTCAATCAAGGTGTGGATGGAGGACCATCAGATCAAGACCCTGTCATGGCCAGCCCAATCTCCAGACCTGAACCCCATTGAAAACTTCTGGAATGTGATCAAGAGGAAGATGGATGGTCTCAAGCCATCAAACAAAGCCGAGCTGCTTGAATTTTTGCGCCAGGAGTGGCATAAAGTCACCCAACATCAATGTGAAGGACTGGTGGAGCGCATGCCAAGACGCCTGAAAGCTGTGATTGAAAATCAGGGTTATTCCACCAAATATTGATTTCTGAACTCTTCCTAAGTTAAAACATTAGTATAGTGTTGTTTAAAAATGAACATGAACTTATTTTTTTCGCATTATTCGAGGTCTGACAACACTGCATCTTTTTTGTTATTTTGACCAGTTGTCATTTTCTGCAAATAAATGCTCTAAATTACAATATTTTTATTTGGAATTTGGGAGAAATACATTTACATTTACATTTTAGTCATTTAGCAGACGCTCTTATCCAGAGCGACTTACAGTTAGTGAGTGTATACATTATTTTTTTATTTTTTCATACTGGCCCCCCGTGGGAAACGAACCCACAACCCTGGTGTTGCAAACACCATGCTCTACCAAATGTTGTCAGTAGTTTCATAGAATAAAACAAATGTTATTTTTACCCAAACACATACCTATAAATAGTAAAACCAGAGAAACTGATAATTTTGCAGTGGGCTCTTAATTTTTTCCACAGCTGGATATACAGCTCTGGAAAAAATTTAGATACCACTGCAAATTTTTCTTAAATCAGCATCTCTACATGTATGACAGACGTTCCATTCCAGTGTCTGTTGAATTCTCTTATTTTTTCCGAAGCTGTATATACACAAGTATGTGGACACCCCTTCAATTGGATTCGGTTATTTCAGCCACATACGTTGTTGACAGGTGTATAAAATCGAGCTCACAGCCATGCAATCTCCATAGCCCAACATTGGCAGTAGAATGGCCTTACTGAAGAGCTCTGTGACTTTCAACGTGGCACCGTCATAAGATGCCACCTTTCCAAGTCAGTTCGTCAAATTTCTGCCCTGCTAGAGTTGCCCCAGTCAACTGTAAGTGCTGTTATTGTTAAGTGGTAAAGTCTAGGAGCAACAACAGCTCAGCCGCGAAATGGTAGGCCACACAAGCTCACAGAACGGGACCGCCGAGTGCTGAAGCGCGTAGTGCGTAAATATTGGAACGCCGACTGCGAGCCAGGCCTAATCGCATAACATCAGTGCCCGACCTCACTAATGCTCTTGTGGCTGAATGGAAGTCCCCGGAGCAATGTTCCAACATCTAGTGGAAAGCCTCCCCAGAAGAATGGAGGCTGTTATAGCAGGAAAGCGGAGACCAACTCCATATTAATGCCCATGATTTTGGAATGAGATGTTCGACGAGCAGGTGTCCACATACTTTTGGGCATGTAGTGTGTGTGTGTATATATATATATATATATATATATATATGTAGTTATTTGTTACATTTGACTGTATAAAACCTAGCAGTACTACTTATTTCACTGAGAGTGAGGCGGATATATAGCATTTTGCAAAGAAAGATCCTTATTTGTCTCTCTGAAATGAAACCATCAAGTGATAGATTTCATACAAATGCATGTATGTGATTGAACAACCCCATGCCATGATTAGATAGTGAAAAAATACACCAATCTCTTTCATAAGTTCTTTAAACAATAACATCTAATTTACCAACATTTCTGAAAATGGATATATAGTGTTTTGGAAAGAAACTCTTCAATTGTAGATAACAGGGGGAGGAAAATCCAGTGTTTGCCTAAATTCAACAATTTCCCTATAGTGGTTTTGCACACAACATGGTGATTTGTTTTCTTTAGATAAAGAGAGTATTTGTTCGGGCTGGGCTCCAGACTCACACTGAGACTGTAGTCAGCTGTTGGACTGAGCTGCTGGGCTGCAGACTCACACTGAGACTGTAGTCAGCTGTTGGACTGAGCTGCTGGGCTGCAGACTCACACTGAGACTGTAGTCAGATGTTGGACTGAGCTGCTGGGCTGCAGACTCACACTGAGACTGTAGTCAGCTGTTGGACTGAGCTGCTGGGCTGCAGACTCACACTGAGACTATAGTCAGCTGTTGGACTGAGCTGCTGGGCTGCAGACACACTGAGACTGTAGTCAGCTGTTGGACTGAGCTGCTGGGCTGCAGACTCACACTGAGACTGTAGTCAGCTGTTGGACTGAGCTGCTGGGCTGCAGACTCACACTGAGACTGTAGTCAGCTGTTGGACTGAGCTGCTGGGCTCAGCTCACATGGAATTATCAGTCTTGACATGATCAGGCCTGCAGACTCACAAAACGACGCTTTGGACTGAGCCTCCCCAATTTAGATGTATTCAGGCTTTGGCTAGGCTGCTGCAGACTCACAGGACTGTAAGTCAATTGTTATGTGTGTGCGACTACTGAACTGTATCTACTTGTTGAATACTGAGCAATCTGCAACTACACTGAACTGTAGTCTGGTTGGAAGAGCTTGGCTGCAATAAGAAGTACATTTCCGCATGTCTGCATTTGAGACAGCTTCAACTCCACAGAAAACACTTTATATCTCTCGTCAAACCAACAGTCTGCTAGCTTGGGCGCAGACTAACACTGAGTTACTATGAGTGTTGGACTTCTGGGGTTAACTACACTGAACTGTGTCACTGTTGACTACATGCTGCCTTGCCAGACTCCACTGAGACGAAAGCAGTTTGGACTGACCTGCTGGGCTGCAGCTCCCTGATTTACTATATCACTTGGACTGAGCTGGGAGGCAGATCACACTGGATGTATCAAACTGTGGACAGTCTGTCTCTCAAACCTCTAGACTATCCTTTTGGAACTAGAGCTGCTGTCATCACTCTTCGTGTCCTCCACATATACAGCTGCTTGAACCCAGGAAACCGCTTTGCACATGATACAATCCCATTGAGATTATTCAAGGTCTTTTGCTACTAACCAGTCAGTACTCTAATTCATGTTGTAGTGTTCTATCCCATTATCTCATTTTTTCAATACATCACAATTTCGTCTGACATAGGTCTGGTAAGGAAAAGTTGCTGAAAAAAAGTCATTCATCACCAATGAGATCATGCTTCCACTCCAGAAAACTTCTCCGTCATACCACACTGCGTAAGAAGAAAACAGTCTATGAGTGTCGTTCTGCATTATAACTGGTCCTCATTGTACACCAAGCTCCTTGAAACCTTGAATCCCACAGAGAAAGCAGTTTGAGGACCATGAAATGGGTAGTCTCCCTATTTCCTTATAACCCCATCTTGAGACAACAGCTTGAGGAAAGAGGATGAGGCACACTGGTGATCTCAAAGACATTGGACATTGATATTAAATATCTCTCTATACAATCTTTCTGTGAGTAATACTACAGTATGTCTGTCTGTATCACTTTCTGTCTGTCCATACAGCTGCTGAACACCAGGATCCGCTCTCCTGCTGCCAAGACAAAGCTGCCAAGACGAACGCTGGCCTATAAGCAGCAGCAGCATCTGAGCAGGCAGTGGTGCCACCCATCTGCCATTTTGGTTCCTCATTCCAGGATGTCCGTCTCAAAGGGGAGAAGGTGGTAATAGGACAGGTTGGTGAGATAGGCATCCGAGTCATCACCACTGATGTCTGGTTCCACCGTCAGGAACTCCCGGCCATCCTCGTCCCTGAGAGAGGAAAATGCCAGACATAGGTATCACTCAGTTCCCATAATAAGACACAGCAACTAAAACATCAGTTCAATATTGAATCCAAACAGCAAAGCACTAAACAAATTCCTGATCTTATCTTCCAATCCTGCCTGCATTCCTTTATTCATAATAGTCTTACTTTCCCAGTTTTGTGATGAACGCTAACTATTTTAAGAAAAACACCCGAGAGTGTGGTCTGTATGATATGATCCCGCACTTGAGTAACATGCACTTGCTGTAAAATGTCACCTTTGTTATAAGTGGTAAAATGTGTTATCTTGTGGAGACTGTGAGTAAAGGTCCCTCCCTAGCTTCCTCCTCACACCCCCAGCCAGGGAATGAAGAGGTGCACTGAGACACTTCCTGAGGTGGGGGACGCTGGAACCACTTTGCATTCAAGGAATGCATGTTACTCACATGCTCAGAATGGTACATACAGCCACTTATGTTTGTAAAAGGTCCCTGTCGGTGTGTGTGTGTAGTAAAGGGAATCTGTACTGTACAGAAAGGAACAGGATGCATTTGTATAATAAAATAGGCCTAAATGGATGAGAAAAACAGAATGACTAAGGTTGAAGAAAATAGAAGCGGGTTAACATGCATACTGTCATGCTTCTCTCTTTGTGAAGCAGGAAGTTACAGCCCCAAAGTCAACATTGTAGAAAATATATAAATAATAACTCCCACACACACAATTTCACCTCTTCTATGAGGTTGAGGAAATTACAATGTATGTTTCAATATACAGTTGAAGTCGGAAGTTTAAATACACTTAGGTTGGAGTCATTAAAACTCGTTTTTCAACCACTCCACAAATTTCTTGTTAACAAACTATAGTTTTGGCAAGTCGGTTAGGACATCTACTTTGTGCATGACACAAGTAAATTTTCCAACAATTGTTTACAGACAGATTATTTCACTTATATTCACTGTATCACAATTCCAGTGGGTCAAAAGCTTACTACACTAAGTTGACTGTGGATTTAGACAGCTTGGAAAATTCCAGAAAATTATGTCATGGCTTTAGAAGCTTCTGATAGGCTAATTGACATAATTTGAGTCAATTGGAGGTGTACCTGTGGATGTATTTCAAGGACTACCTTCAAACTCAGTGCCTCTTTGCTTGACATCATGGGAAAATCTAAAGAAATCAGCCAAGACCTCCGAAAAAAATTTGTATACCTCCACAAATCTGGTTCATCCTTGGGAGAAATTTCCAAACGCCTGAAGGTACCACGTTCATCTGTACAAACAATAGTACGCAAGTATAAACACCATGGGACCACGCAGCCGTCATACTGCTCAGGAAGGAGACGCGTTCTGTCTCCTAGAGATGAACGTACTTTGGTGCGAAAAGTGCAAATCAATCCGAGAACAACAGCAAAGGACCGTGTGAAGGTGCTGTAGGAAACGGGTACAAAAGTGTATATATATCTACAGTAAAACGAGTCCTATATCGACATTACCTGAAAAGCTGCTCAACAAGGAAGAAGCCACTGCTCCAAAATCGCCATAAAAAAGCCAGACTACGGTTTGCAACTGCATATGGGGACAAAGAGTGGGATGCTTGCAAGCCGAAGAACACCATCCCAAACGTGAAGCACGGGGATGGCAGCATCATGCTGTGGGGGTGCTTTGCTGCAGGAGGGACTGGTGCACTTCACAAAATAGATGGCATCATGAGGAAGGACAATTATGTGGATTTATTGAAGCAACATCTCAAGACATCAGTCAGGAAGTTAAAGCTTGGTCGCAAATGGGTCTTCCAAATGGACAATGACCCCAAGCATACTTCCAAAGTTGTGGCAAAATGGCTTAAGGACAACAAAGTCAAGGTATTGGAGTGGCCATCACAAAGCCCTGACCTCAATCCTATAGAAAATGTGTGGGCAGAACTGAAAAAGCGTGTGCGAGCAAGGAGGCCTAAAAACCTGACTCAGTTACACCAGCTCTGTCAGGAAGAATGGGCCAAAATTCACCCAACTTATTGTGGGAAGATTGTGGAAGGCTACCCGAAACGTTGGACCCAAGCTTGTGGAAGTTAAACAATTTAAAGGCAATGCTACCAAATACTAATTGAGTGTATGTAAACTTCTGACCCGCTGGGAATGTGATGAAATAAATAAAAGCTGAAATAAATCATTCTCTCTACTATTATTCTAACATTTCACATTCTTAAAATAAAGTGGTGATCCTAACTGACCTAAGACAGGTAATTTTTACTAGGATTAAATGTCAGGAATTGTGAAAAACTGAGTTTAAATGTATTTGGCTAAATTGTATGTAAACCTCTGACTTCAACTGTACAATGACATTCGTATTGACTGGCAAGGTGAATCTAACAGGTAAAATAAGTAATAAGTAATGTGCTACTTACTGGTGTTCTGCAGAGTCAGTGGATGAGGGTCTTTCTTTGTCCTGTGGCAGACACTCGTCAAACACGATGGTCTCAGTGTTGGCTAGACAGAAGCCATTCAAACACATGATCTCTGTGGGGCATAAAACAGACAGATTGACATAACCACTGGCCAGGGGAGAGCAAAAAACCCTTACAACATTCTACAGTTCAGGACATGAACAGTCTTCTGCCCCCATATATTTGTTTCTATATTGCCTGTTGTTGTTTCCTCTAAGGAATTTGTTATAATGCAAGGCACATTTCTTTGAAAACAGACAATAAAATGCTATCTTATCTGATCCGTTAGAGGTTTCTTGGTTCGGATGCCATGTTGGGCCTGCTTACATGTTTCAAGCAGACCACCATAGTCCCTGTGCCCAAGGAAACGAAGGTAACCTGCCTAAATGATTACCGCCCCTGTAGCACTCACGTCAGTATTACCGCCCCATAGCACTCACGTCAGTAGCCATGAAGTGCTTTGAAAGGCTGGTCATGGCTCACATCAACACCATCATCCCGGAAACCCTAGACCCACTCCAATTCGCATACCGCCCCAACAGATCCACAGGTGATGCAATCTCAATCGCACTCCACACTGCCCTTTCCCACCTGGACAAAAGGAACACCTATGTGAGAATGCTGTTCATTGACTACAGCTCAGCGTTCAACACCAGTGTCCACAAAGCTCATCACTAAGCTAAGGACCCTGGGACTAAACACCTCCCTCTGCAACTGTATCCTGGACTTCCTGACGGGGCGCCCCCAGGTGGTAAGGGTAGGCAACAACACATCTGCCACGCTGATCCTCAACACTAGGGCCCCTCAGGGGTGCATGCTTAGTCCCCTCCTGTACTCCCTGTTTACCCACGACTGCGTGGCCAAACACGACTCCAACACCATTACGTTTGCTGACGATACAACAGTGGTAGGCCTGATCACCGACAACGATGAGACAGCCTATAGGGAGGAGGTCAGAGACCTGGCAGTGTGATGCCAGGACAACAACCTCTCCCTCAATGTGAGCAAGACAAAGGAGCTGATCGTGGACTAGGGGAAAAGGCGGGCTGAACAGGCCCCCATTAATATCGATGGGCTGTAGTGGAGTGGGTAGAGAGTTTCAAGTTCCTTGGTGTCCACATCACCAACGAACTATCATGGTCCAAACACACCAAGACAGTCGTGAAGAGGGCACGACAACACCTTTTCCCCCTTAGGAGACTGAAAAGATTTGGCATGGGTCCCCAAATCCTCAAAGTTCTACAGCTGCACCATCGAGAGCATCCTGCCCGGTTGCATCACTGCCTGATATGGCAACTGCTCGGCATCTGACCGTAAGGCGCTACAGAGGGTAGTGCGTACGGCCCAGAGGAAGGCCAAAAACATTGTCAAAGACTCCAGTCACCCAAGTCATAGACTGTTCTCTCTGCTACCGCACGGCAAGCGGTACCGGAGCGCCAAGTCTAGGACCAAAAAGCTCCTTAACAGCTTCTACCCCCAAGCCATAAGACTGCTGAACAATTAATCAAATGGCCACCCGGACTATTTACAATGATCACCCCCCCCCCCTTGTTTTTACACTGCTGCTACTCGCTGTTTATTATCTATGCATAGTCACTTTACCCCTATCTACATGTACAAATTACCTCGACTAACCTGTACCCCCGCACATTGACTCGGTACCGGTACCCCCTGTATATAGCGTCATTATTGTTATTTCTATATTTTTTCTTTTTTAACTTTAGTTTCTTTAGTAAAGATTTTCTTAACTCTATTTCTTGAACTGCATTGTTGGTTAAGGGCTTGTAAGGAAGCATTTCACGGTAAGGTCTATACCTGTTGTATTCGGCGCATGTGACAAATACAAATTTGATTTGAAGTAAGGGGAATCAGAGGAGCCCCTATGTTTCCTAATGAATCAATACCTGATATCTTGTATGGACTCTGGAAGCATGGCTGGATCTTGTGGATGTTGTCATTCTTCAGCACTTGGTCCAAGGGTGATCGTTCAAAGAATGTCAACACCACCTCTGACCTAGAATACTGTGGAGTGCCACACAGGCAGCATGAGTTTGGGTTATTTTAATGTGAACCATACACAATGCATGAGAGTTAACCTGAGTCAAATGTGGTATGTCTGAAGCTGTATAAGTGAATAGATGTGCGCACATGTTAATCAAATACAATATGTGTGCAGGGGGTGGTAGTAGCGTAACCTACCTTCCATGGCATGTTGATCGTATTCTTCAGTAACCTCTCCACCTCATTTAGCTTCACCTCAATGTCATTGGCCTCTTTCATCTTAACCAGACCTGAATATAAAACAACACAAACATAGGAAGACAACGATAATGGTTATTACATAGTTTTTGCTTGGTTAATAACACTTTGTTTTACAAGTAGTCTAAAAAAAACAGAGAATCTTTGTTTTCTTAGTAAGTAAATCTTCCAGTGAATCACATCAGCCTTAGGTTGACTTGAGTTAGGCAACATAGGCAAGTTGCAAATTCTAATGAATTCAACTCAAAGAACAAGTCTGAGCTTTCATGCCAAAACAACTCTCCTAATGGGAGCACATGAGGTAAAACCTATCTGTGCATCGACCATAACAAAGGGCAGCTACTTTGACCCTTGTGTCCACTAGCGTCTTATCTATCAAAAGGCCAGGACACACAACAAAGGCTAAACGAGAGGAGGGCCCAATTCAATAATTGTTAACCCAAAACGGAATTGAAAAGGTGGCAATCAGTTAACTGCAATAGCCTTTATGTTCACAATGCTCCACTGATCTTTGTTCTAGGCACGGCATGTACAGAGAAACACAAATAGACTTCCTTAAGTTCAGATGACATAGTTTTAAGAAACTGCAAATGCAAAGTATTACAAGATACTACAACAGCCCTATGCCTTACTTTGTGATACTGCTTAATTCTGCTTAACTGTAATATTGTTTCCTATAAATATTGTATTATTATTTTATTTTTTTTACTTACGTTGGCCTATGTACACTACAATACAGCTTTTAGCTGCAAATGTGTACAATTCAAATAAACCTTAAATATATAGGCCAGAGGTTCCCAAACTTTTTTGGCCCATCACCCCATTTTGATATCTGAAAATTCTAGCGACCACAACTATGTGAAAAAAAATTATGTACAGTTGAAGTCGGAAGTTTACATACACTTTAGCCAAATACATTTAAACTCAGTTTTTCACAATTCCTGACATTTAATCCTAGTAAAAATTCCCTGACTTAGGTCAGTTAGGATCACCACTTTATTTTAAGAATGTGAAATGTCAGAATAATAGTAGAGAGTGATTTATTTCAGCTTTTATTTCTTTCATCACATTCCCAGTGGGTCAGAAGTTTACAAACACTCAATTAGTATTTGGTAGTATTGCCTTTAAATTGTTTAACTTGGGTCAAACGTTTCGGGTAGCCTTCCACAAGCTTCCCACAATAAGTTGGGTGAATTTTGGCCCATTCCTCCTGACAGAGCTGGTGTAACTGAGTCAGGTTTTTAGGCCTCCTTGCTCGCACACACTTTTTCAGTTTTGCCCACAGATTTTACATTTACATTTACATTTTAGTCATTTAGCAGACGCTCTTATCCAGAGCGACTTACAGTTAGTGAATACATATATATATATATTTTTTTTTATACTTGCCCCCCCGTGGGAATCGAACCCACAACCCTGGCGTTGCAAACGCCATGCTCTATCAACTGAGCTACATCCCTGCCGGCCATTCCCTGGGCCAATTGTGCGCCGCCCCATGGGTCTCCCGGTCGCGGCCGGCTGCGACAGAGCCTGGATTCGAACCAGGATCTCTAGTGGCACAGTTTGCACTGCGATGCAGTGCCTTAGACCACTGCGCCACTCAGGAGCAGTGGTCTATGCATTTTCTATAGGATTGAGGTATTTGTGATGGCCACTCCAATACCTTGACTTTGTTGTCCTTAAGCCATTTTGCCACAACTTTGGAAGTATGCTTGGGGTCATTGTCCATTTGGAAGACCCATTTGCGACCAAGCTTTAACTTCCTGACTGATGTCTTGAGATGTTGCTTCAATGTATCCACATAATTTTCCTTCCTCGTGATGCCATCTATTTTGTGAAGTGCACCAGTCCCTCCTGCAGCAAAGCACCCCCTCAGCATGATGCTGCCACCCCCGTGCTTCACGGTTTGGATGGTGTTCTTTGGCTTGCAAGCCTTCCCCTTTTTCCTCCAAACATAACGATGGTCATTATGGCCAAACAGTTCTATTTTTGTTTCATCAGACCATAGGACATTTCTCCAAAAAATACGATCTTTGTCCCCATGTGCAGTTGCAAACCGTAGTCTGGCTGTTTTATGGCAGTTTTGGAGCAGTGGCTTCTTCCTTGCTGAGCGGCCTTTCAGGTTATGTCGATATAGGACTAGTTTTACTGTGGATATAGATACTTTTGTACCCATTTCCGACAAGCATCTTCACAAGGTCCTTTGCTCTTGTTCTGGGATTGATTTGCACTTTTTGCACCAACGTACGTTCATCTCTAGGAGACAGAACGCGTCTCCTTCCTGAACAGCATGATGGCTGCATGGTTCCATGGTGTTTATACTTGCGTACTATTGTTTGTACAGATGAACGTGGTCCCTTCAGGCGTTTGGAAATCGCTCCCAAGGATGAACCAGACTTGTGAAGGTCTACAATTTTTTTCTGAGGTCTTGGATGATTTCTTTTGATTTTCCCATGATGTCAAGCAAAGAGGCACTGAGTTTGAAGGTAGGCCTTGAAATACATCCACAGGTACACCTCCAATTGACTCAAATGATGTCAATTAGCCTAATCAGAAGCTTCTAAAGCCATGACATCATTTTCTGGAATTTTCCAAGCTGTTTAAAGGCACAGTCAACTTAGCGTATGTAAACTTCTGACATACTGGAATTGTGATACAGTGAATTATAAGTGAAATAATCTGTCTGTAAACAATTGTTGGAAAAATGACTTGTGTCATGCACAAAGTAGATGTCCTAACCGACTTGCCAAAACTATAGTTTGTTAACAAGAAATTTGTGGAGTGGTTGAAAAACGAGTTTTAATGACTCCAACCTAAGTGTAACTTCCGACTTCAACTGTATATTTGGAAGTTAAAACAACATTTATATAGATAGTGGTCGTCTGGAAATAAGCCATCAAATATCTGTTTTTTCCTACAGGCTTCCTGATTGCATTTCCTCACTTCCAGTGGAAGAGTCCATTTCTGTCTCCACTTCCTGGAATCGGTTGTCCTCGTTGAGGAGGGAAACACTAAACTTGTGTGTGTTCTGTTCTCCCTGTGTGACATTACTGTAGTATGGGGCCAAATCGGTCCAATAATTGTCCTCTGTACCAGCATTCTGGCCATCCAAACTGTTCCCATGTGCACATCAAAGAATGATGCTGCAGCTAAGAAATACGCCAACAGCTCATAGGCTACATTCAGTTGACAGAGAAGAGCACTGCACAGATACCGCTGGTATCTTTCTCAACATAAATCAATGTTTTCTTGCACATTGTAGCAATAATCGTTTTACTGTCTTGTTTAGCTAAAAAACTATTTATGGTAATGACATTGCTTACAACATAATGAAAGTGTAGTTACTCAATGTGATACCTGTTTTAGCTGTCATTTGCATATCAACCATGGCAGGAGGGCGGGCAACATGATAGGAAGCATGAGCCTCCACATCATCCTTACACATGATATTTCAACATTTATCTGACATTATCAGCAGCTATTTCACAATAGCATCCACCAGCACATCAGAAAGGCCAATGTCAACATGATACTAGAACATTATAGCCTATAGCAGTGTAATGTACTGTGACATTATCTAACCGCCATCTCCCCGGTTTGATCAGCATGTTCCATTAGGTGTTGCTGCTCGGTCATCAGATACAGAAAATTCCATAAAAAGACAGACTAAGTCTTTATAACACAGTTCTGGGCTCTCCTCTCCATCACCAGTCTGAGTCAGTCATGTCTGCATGTTTGGGCAGTGCCCTCATGCCAGCAGAACCTATCACTGCCTGTCTATGGTGCCCACTCCAGGGTCACATGTCAGATGACTGCGATTTGATAAAGCCCTGAGCAGGCCACAGAAGGGGCTAGTCTAAATATAGGAACGCCCACTCCTTCAGCCAAGCCTGTGTATCACCCTCTCACCACGATGACATCAGCGTGAAAGTTCTTTACGCCTCCATTGTTGCTAAGGTACAGCACAGAAACAGGAAAACAAGAGCTGGGGGAAAGGAGAATGCTTCATGGGGAATTAAGAAGAGCTAGAGCTAGGTCCACTTTTCATCTGAGTGCCAATTATAATGTAGCATCTAAATGAAATATCGAGCCGAGATGGGCATGAGGGAATGGAATGGGATTAATCTGTGGCCAGCTATCCATCACTGACATGATTCAACTCTACCGGCACTACCACTAGAGTAGCACTGAGATTAAGTCTCTATTTCAATACCAAACTCCCTCCTTTTGTCTCTCAGTCGCCACCAACTAGACGAGGATGGATGAAAGACAAAGGAAAAGAAGAAGTGCAAAGTGAGTCATTTTTATTGCCCCATGTCTCTCTCTTCTCCCATCATGCATCACACATGGCAGACTAGATGCACGAGAAGTGCCAATCATCATCCTCAGCACTGACAGGCTATTTCGGTGTATGGGAAGGAAGCAGAGCCTTCCAGTCAACACAAAAAGGCTGCTATGGGGGACAGTTTCCAAAACACACTTAGCCTGAGCGGGCACAGACAAAGGAGAAGTGCCAGAGGCGGCCCGTACAAAAAAAACTTGCTTTTTTTTGTTTCAAATGGCATTTTCACATGTGATATGGCTGTTTTCACGTTGAGTTAAAATTTCACGTGAAACCATGTTTTCACATGTATTACATGTTCACATGTTAACACCACTTTTACACATGAGGAGAATAACATGTTTTCACCTCACATGTGAATTGCAAGTTCATGTGAAAAACATTAACATGTAAAAATCACATTTGTAGTTTCCACGTTGTCACACCAGCCTTCGCTTTGGCTCCCCCTCCTGTCCAGCTCAGACGCTCGGCGTCGCCGGCCTTCTAGCTGCTGCCGAACCTACTGCTGGAAAATGCCCTTCACTCATCAACCCCAGACTTGTCTCGTCATCATTACACACACCAAGTCCAATCCCCACTCTATCACTGTATATATACTCCCTCTGCCATTTGTCTTTGTCGGTCATTGTAAATGTTACTTGTTTTCCTGAGAGGAATCTCCTACTATTTCTTGAGTACTTTATATTTT